TATTTTAATTTTTTGAGATTTTTTTGCTATAGGGCATGTGTGCTTGCCCCAGAAAGACACAGAGAGATAGAGAAATAGAAAGTGAAAAACACCCCTGAATGGGTATGGCTAAAATGCAAAACCACCCTCCTCTTAGGATCTTGGGCATGCACGCACACGTGCCCGGAGTCAGTTTAAGCCATCAGGTCCAAGTCTTAAACCACGGTCGATTACATGGAAGTCTGGCAACATAGCCATCATGCCAATTGCTGGTCCCCATTTACCTTTTACTTTGACCAGAAAAAGACAGACACACAGAGAAAAGGAAAGCGAGAAAGCAAGCCACTAGGTCCGAGACTTGAACCTTGGTTGGTCATGTGGGAGTGTCCAATGCCTTAACCACCACGCCACCTGCTGGCCCCTAAATAAAATAATTCTAAAACAATAAAAGAAAAACAGAACAAAATGAAATTTTAGACTGAAAAATGCAATAACCTAAATTAAAAAAAAGAAAAAGGTGGAAAAAGTAGCTGTACTCTTAGCCATGTGTGGGATTTTTCTGGGTTTTGTTTTTTAGTTTTTGGGTATAGGATGGTACACTGCCCAGAGAGAAACAGAAATAAAGTGAGAAATCACCCTTCAGGGGTGATGGTCATGCTCAAATCCCTTCTCTTGGAATTTTGGGCATGCACATACACACGTCCAGCATGATTTTCAAGCTGCCAGGTCCAGGACTCTAACTGCACAGTTGGCCATGTGGGTCCAATGCCTTAACCTCCATGCCACCTGCTAGCCCGACAGGTGGGTTATTTTATCCTACTACAGATGGTATGGAAATTAGGGGCTGGTGTGGTGGTAAAACACCAGATCTGTGAGGCTGATTCATATGGGAAGGTTTCAGGTTCTCATCCGGAAACCTCTTTGAGTTGTCAGGCACTGCACGCCATGATCCCAGGCTGACTGGGAGAGCATGAAGATCCTGCTAGAAGTGTTGCATCTCTGCCTTGTTCTCTCAGTGTCTCTCTTGTTCATGGAAGAAATAAACTTCTTTTTTCTTTTTTTGGAGAGGGTTTTTGCTATAGGGCGCGTGCGCTCACCAGACAGACAGAGAGAGAGAGACAGAAAGCGAGAAATCCCCCCCCAGGAGGGATGGCCACGCCGCAATCCCTTCTCCTCCATTCTCCTCTTGGGATCTTGGGCACGCATGCACACGCGCCCAGCGTGAGTTTAAGCCACTGGGTCTGAGACTCGAACGGTGGTCGACTATGTGGGAGTCCAGCGACACAGCCATTACGCTAACTGCTGGTCCCAGAAATAAATAAACTTTTGAAAAAAATTAGTAGCTGGCATCCAGCTCATTACACTACCTTTAGTATTCTGAGGCTGTAAAGAATCCGCAACCCAGAAAGGTACTGTGACCTTGCAGTAATTTTAAACTATGATATAAATAACTCCAAAAGTGTAAAGGACACAGGTCTATAAATGGGACTAGTAAGATCTAAAGGGACTGCTCCATGTTCCACATTGGCCAGAAAGGTGTCAGCAAAGGGTTAGTGGCTATCTCCTAGAAGAGTACGAAGCCATGGCATTATAGAAAGCAGACTAGCTTAAGGCCTTATTGGGAGGAGAATAATGAGAAAAATGACTTGTTCTACTTTTAAAAATAGACATTGTGGGGCCGGCAGGTGGTGTGGTGGTTAAGGGCGTTGGACTCCCACATGTAGCTGACCACAGTTTGGTGCCTGTGCCTGGAGGCTTGCTTTCTTGCTTTCACTCTCTATCTCACTCTGTCCATCTCTGTTCAAATTAAAATAAATAAAGTTAAAGAAAATAATTCTTTAAAAAATAGACATTATGGGAACCAGCAGTTAGCGTAATGGCTATGTTGCTGGACTCCCATGTAGTCGACCGCGGTTCGCGTCCCGGACCTGGTGGCTTAAAACTCACGCCGGGTGCGTGTGCGTGCGTGCCCAAGATCCCGAGAGGAGAATGGAGGAGAAGGGATTGCGGAGTGACCATCCCCCCTGGGGGGTGATTTCTCGCTTTCTATCTCTATGTCTCTCTCTGTCTGTCTGGCAAGCGCGCATGCCCTATAGTGAAAATCTAAATTGAAAAAAAAAAAAAAAAAAAAAAAAAGAAAAAGACATTATTACAAGTAGTAAAAACGGGGGTGGGGATCCTAGTAAGTGGCATGGTTGTTAAGGCATTGGATCCCACATGGCTGACTCAAAAACAATGCTTTGGGGCCAGCATGTGGCGTGCTGGTTAAGGCACTGGACTTCCACATGGTCAACTGCGGTTTGAGTCCTGGACCTGGTGGCTTTCTCTCTCTCTTCTTTCTCTGGTGAATGTATATGCTGTATGCCAAATGAAATAAATAAATAATTTAAAACAAATGATGCCTAAGTATCAGAAAATCCTACAGACTTTATCTACAAAAATACTTTGTAATACTGAGTTTTTTTTTTTTTTTTTTTAAAGGTGTTGCTGTAGGGTGTGTGTGTTCTCCAGAGAGAGGCGATGAGAAGGAAAGTGAGAAATCATCCTCCAGGGGAGGATGGCCATGCTGTAATTATTTTTTGTTGTTGTTGTTTTGTTTGTTTGTTTGTTTTTAGAGATTTTTGCTATAGGGCGTGTGCACTCACCAGAAAAACAGCAAGAGAGAAAACACACACACACACACACACACACACACACACACACCCCGAGGGGATGGCCACGCGACGATCCCTTCTCCATTCTCCTCTTGGGATCTTGGGCACGCATGCACACACGCAAAAAATCTCTCCAAAAAAAGAGATGATGATGAGATATGCCTATGTCCTGAAAACAGGACACGACTAAATTCCTGGGTTGCAATATCGTGAAAGTTTACAGGATTGTATTTTCCCCAAAATATCTTTTTAAATCTCTTTCTCTTGGTTTATCCCTCCAACTATCCCTTCCCTGTGAATTAGTAGCCTTCAACAAATGTTATCTCCATTTCTTCTTCATCTCTTTGCCTTTGTTAGCCTTCTTCCCCAGCAAATCAGGAGCCTATATAACTATATATTTTTTTTTTCTTTTTGGAGAGGTTTTTTTGCTATAGGGCGCGTGTGCTCGCCAGACAGACAGAGAGAGATAGAGAGATAGAAAGTGAGAAATCACCCCCCAGGGGGGATGGTCACGCCGCAACCCCTTCTCCTCCATTCTCCTCTCAGGATCTTGGGCATGCACGCACACGCGCCCGGCGTGAGTTTAAGCCACCGGGTCCGGGACGCGAACCACAGTCGACAACGGGGGAGTCCAGCAACATAGCCATTACGCTAACTGCTGGTCCCCAGGAGCCTATATTTTTCGGGTATTGATGAGCGGGAGGGAAAAGGAATAATGGTACAAACTAAGGTGATGAAAATGGAGGAGACCAAGAGATAAACAGCTGCAAGGATCTGAACTGGATAGAGTGAACAAGCCCTCATCCTAAACCACTCAGAGCTCAGATTTCTTCTCTGGACAGCTGGCTCTTTTAGTCCTCCTGAAATACTCTGCAAAGCTAGAGGAGAGGCTGTCAATTACGTCTGCTACGAATCTTTTTTAAAGTCAGCTACCTCCCAGATACTATCTGCAGAAACTAAATGTAATATTCAATATAGCAGGGATGCAGGTGGTAAACTAAAGGTATCCAATTGCCTACTGTAAATTTGAAAGGTCCAGAGTATATTATTTAGAATGCTGGAGGGCTGCCTGGAGTAGGGGGTGACCGCAGAATCATATAAGCTGGAAATAGATATCTGACTTGCCTGTCATATCACCCCCAACTTGGTATCCCAAATTCCGAATGCTTTATAATCTTCCTGCCTTTCCTACTCCCCCTATTCCTACACCCTACCCCCACCAACGTTCCTGGAATTTTGGACTTAGCTATTTTTAAAACTGTCAACTCAGTAGCCACCTCCCTCCCCCATTCAGCTGTCCAGTGCTCCGGCCAGCCACATACCCCTGCTTTCCCCCACACCAAACCTTCTCTGGATCCCTGACCTCAGTGAGATTGCTGCTGGTCCTGGGGTCTGGGGGCAACATGGAGAAAGAAACAAGGGACCCCCAGGTTGGAGCTGACCCTCAGAGAAGGCAGCCATGGCTGGAGAATTGGATATCAGAATAATGTCTCACCTCTGGAAACAGTAAGTCAAAATGAAATTACGATTCCTTTAATAAGCTTTCAGATTGAAATTAGACTTTTATAAAATTCTAGACACCTACTTGGGTGTTTCTACCTGAATGCTAGGATCTTTCTCAACTAAAGTACCCCAATCTCCATTTCTCCTGTCCAATTCATGTCTGGACTCTGGCCATGCAAAGTTGAATCTCTCTTCTCTGGAAGCCTTAGCTCCCTCCTCACCCTGTTACATCAAGACTTCTGATAAAGTTTCAGGAGGAGTTACTCACACCCTGTCTTCCCACCAAAACCGAACCTGGTCTCAGATGATTAGTCACTGACAGACTTCTACGCTGCCCTGCTTAGCCATGCCCTTCACGTGGGGCTTCCAAGGTTGGGGCTACCCCTCAGAAACAGTCTCTCCCCACAGCTCTAGTCCCCTCATCCTATTCTCCCTCCTGCAGGACCCCTCTTCCAATCATATCTGTACCCCAGGGCAGGGAAGTGTGGCAGGAGGGAGTTAGCCTCTCCTCAGCCCCCATCTTCTTCAAAAAGACCGAAAACTCCAGAATTCACAAAGAAGAGACTAATGGAAATTAATCTTCAATCAGGTTTGGAGAAATACAAGAACTGTTGACTTAGAAAAAGCAAATATTGATTTGTGTGCTTGGTTTGCATCCTGTTATGCCATGAGAGCAGGGCTATAATTGCGACTCTCTAGAGCAGATTGACGAGATCGGTTCCCTCTTCCTGGATACCGATGTTCTAGGGGCCACAGGTACTCCACCCTAACTCCTTCTTGTGTTCTTCAGACACAAGGGAGGAAAATAATGAATGCCTGCTGAAGGGTGACCCTCCTGATGGGGAGGGATGAAAAGAGGTACGTTTCTCAAATACTTTCAGATCCTAAAGCTATTGGGGAATCTGATGGGCTGACGGGAATCTAATCTATCCCCATGATCCCTCCATTTCTGACGTATCTGCTATTTGGAAGCTCTGGATGGGGCAATGCAGTGGACTCTGCCCGCCCCCAAGTCCATTCCACCTCCACCCACCCCCACCTGGGACTATTGCACAAGGGGTCTGAAAGTGGCTGCAGGAGCCAGGCACAGAGCTCAACTGTCACACTCATAGTTCAGGGAGCCCCATGCTTCCCAAACTCCAGTCTGCTCACCCTTTTCTTGATCTCCCCAGATTCTCTTCACATTACCCTGACCAATCTTCAACTCTTCTCTCTCTCCATGCCCAGCCAAATTTCTTTTTCAGTCACTTACAGGACCACTGATCAAAATTCACTAGGTAGGAGGGTCATCCGCTGGCAAGAACGGCGCCTGGGGGGGACCTGGCTGGATAGGTATGGGAAACTCGGGCCAGTCACATGGTCCCCGGCCCCCCCATGGCAATCCCCCAACTTTAAGCACTCTTACTCTCCTGCTGCTCCTCTGTGGACATGGTAAGGAAGGGCCAGGGAGGGGTTTCGGGAAGTCTGGAGGGTAGGCCATGTCGGGGTGGGTGTAAGCACGTGCCAGTGAGGAGAAATGGGTGCTGAGGAGTCCCGGTCACTCTCCCCACTCTCAAGTAGGCATATTTTGTTTCCCTTTCAACTTGAGGAAGGGCACGGGGGGG